AGGGTCAGCAGAGTGAAATTTTTTCCTGAACAGGTCAGTTTGTGATTTGATTTCTGCCTCAGGTCAAATCTGTGATTTCTGCCTCCTTTTTGCTCAAGAATCTTTGTCTCCTTGGTGTATCCCTCTGTCTGGCAGGCACTTGGGAGAGAGGATGAGGGCCTCACACAGCAAAGGAGGGCAACCAGATAAGGAGGACAATGACTCACAATAACCAAGTGCACACCACACACACACAAATGAGCTAACTTTTTTTCATGTCATGCCCCACCTGAGTAGGCCTGGAATGAACAGAAAGTGCCTAGTGGGGATGGATTTGGATGCCTCTACTGCTAGTTTGTGCTACTGCTACTGCATCTTCACACACATAGCAACAACCAGGCACATGCCCTCCCTGACACCATCCCCAAGAGGGCTCAGGGGTCAAGAAAGACAGCTAGGCTTAAGCTACTCACTTCACCTCACCACCTGTTTACTGTTACCTCTTCTACTACCAACAGTGCTACTTGTATGTATCTACTGTACAGCAAAATCTCCGAAAAGCAGCAACCTTTTTCGTCTGTGTTGTGGTTCAGAACTCAGAGTTCCTCATCAGATGTGGCATCACCTCCGAGAATGACAAAGCACAAACATCTGAACCAATGGCCCTGTTTGAATGCTCTAACTCTGAGTTACAGTAGTTTCTAGCTCATGACTAACCCTGAACTAACTCTAGCCAACAAGGTGTTTGGATGACAGGGTTATATTGACAATAAATACACTTGATGGAGAGAGAAAAGTGGTTTTTCAGTGGGCATCATGAGAACTAGCTCCAATTAGCACCTCTTGGCTGGCGGGATAGAGAGAGAAAAAAAGATTTTTCATTGGGCCCCATGAGAACTAGCTCCAATTAGCACCTCTTGGGTGGGATAGTTTTTTTTTGGGTGGGTTAGATGCAACTAACTCCAATCTAGCCCTCATGTTTGGATACTTTAGGGCTACTAGCAAAAGAGCCCGTGCGTTGCAAGGGAAAAAAAATACCACATGTGAAACAACATCATATTCAGATTGTACACATTTTTCTAATCAATTTTCATATGTCAAAAGATATGAATATTTTCTAAAGCATTTGAAACTGTACCTAAACAACATTTAAAAATGGTTAACGAGTAAAAATAACATAATAACAATATTGTACACATTTTCCTAATCAATTTTCATATATAACATGTTAAAATTCGAATTGCGGTCTAACATATATGAATATTTTTTAAACAATTAAATATGTTCCTAAACCGAATTTAAAGATGTTTGACGTGTAAAAATAACATCATATTCATATTGTACACATTTTTTTATTCAATTTTCATATATAACATGTTAAAATTGGAGTTACGGTTTAAAAGATATGAATATTTTTTAAAACATTTAAATATGTTCCTAAACCAAATTAAAAAATGATTGCCATGTAAAAATAACATCATATTAATATTCTACACATTTTTCTAATCAATTTTCATATATAACATGTTATTGGAGTTACAATTTAAAAGATATGGCTATTTTTTTAAATAATTATTCTTAATAGACTGCGGGGTGATTAACGCATATATCAGGGGGTTATGTAAAACTGCAAAAAAAGATTCGCTGCGACTTAATGTGGACCATGTGTTAATTAGCATGAAAGGTAAGGGGTTTTGTGTAAAATGCAAAAAAACGATCCGTTCTTACTTAAACAGGACTGCGGGTTGAATTCTCAAAAATAGAGGGACTCTTTTGCAAAATACCGTGACGGACAAGCAAAAGTGGTACCTGCTTTATTATTAGGGAAAGATTTGAGCCCCAACTAGCTCAAACTAACTCTAATCCATGGATTCAAACAGGGCCAATGAAAAAAATAGCGCGCTACAAGATTTAGCGCCGCTCTTCTCTAGATCCTATAGAAGTTACGGAAGTACTGTGCACATGATGCTATAGATTACGATCCCAGTACGATGCTATATTGAAACGGACACGGATCCTCTGACGTAGCCAACCTGACTTTCACTGTCTTTCGGTCGCTGACAGGTGGGCTCGCGCTTATCCATGTGTTAGTCTCTCAATGGCAGGACAACCCACGTAAGGCTGGTTGTAATGGGAGTATCATAGCTAGTATCATGCATGCCAACTAGGCAACTTTAATGAGGTGGCATAGAATTAAATGAAGTAAGAGAGGGTTGAGTATCATAATAAATGCTACACTAGTATGTGTCATGCATGGCAATAAATAAAGTCATATATGATACTATGCATTAGGGAGGTAGTATCATACACTAGTATCATATGCATGATACTAACTTATGATACTACCATTACAACCAGCCTAAAGGGATCCTCTTCCCGAGTGGAGTCTGATGATTTGGCCTGGTACATCGAAGGCTTGTATGTGACGGCGTGCCAAATCGTCCATGATGTATCGTTCGCATAGCGGCCCTCTAGAAGTTATAGCGTGCGATATTTGAAAATTGTGTTTTGCATAAACATGTCAAATATATCACAAAATTCAAGGCTTCCCTAATTCGCAAGGATGGGGACTTGGGCGAAAATGGATTGAGGCCGGCACCGCTATTTGAAGACCGGATGAAGAGAGGTTGCTCTCACATGGTAGCTGACTCGCTGGCGCCGGCAGCGTGGTTGACGTCGGTGCTGACTTGCCGGAGTTGGAGGTGTGGCGCCGCCGCTACTTGGAGATGGGATGAAGAGAAGCCGCCGTCGCTCACGAACCACCGTCGCCGACACCGCTACTTGGAGACTGGATGAAGAGAAACCGTTGCCGCTCACGAACCACCAACGCCGCCTCCTTCGCTCAAGACTCATGAATGACGCTGACGCCACTTCTCGAAGATGGGACGAAGAGAAGATGTTGCCGCCACTGCCTTCGCTCACGAGTCACGAACGACGCTGCCACCGCTACTTGGAGACTGGATGAAGAGAAGCAGCCACTGCTCACAAACCACCGCCGCCGCCACCTTCACTCACGAGTCACGAACGAGGTCGATGCTGCTACTTGGAGACGGGAGGAAGAGAAACCAATACCTTTCACGAACCGCCACCGCCTTCTTTCACGAGTCACGAATAGCGTCGACGCTGCTACTTGGAGACGGGATGAAGAGAAGCCGCTGCCGCTCAGGAATCGCCCGCCGCGGCCTTCACTCACGAGCCACGAACAACGCCGCCTTCGCTCACGAGTCACGAAAAACTCCTCCGCCGCCTCCCTCGATCACGAGTTGGTGGGAAACTTATGACGAGTTTGCTAGGTTAGCTTGTATGTGTTGCTATATGGGCTGTTGTATGGGTTGCGTCTGAGAAGGAGCGGGAGTGAGTTGGGCCCATGCGGTGATGTGATGGGCCGCTGTGTGGCACACGCAAAAACGCTACAAACGTTATTTCATTTAGCGTCGAAATAGTGCGCTATAGCGCAAATAGCACCATAGTGAGCCAATTAGCTAAAATGAAACGTGGCATTTGCTGATACGCTATAGCGACGCGTCAAAATAGGGCGCTATTTTTTTTGTTGATCTGAACAACCCATGTTGCCACATTGGGAAGGATAAGGAGGAGGGAAAATGGGTTGCCACATTGGGAAGGATAAGGAGGAGGGAAAAGGAGTGGCAAGCATGAGTGACACCAGCTGCACCTCGGACAGAGTTCATGGACTCAGTGGATACATTCATATGCTTTTCTTTATCTCTTCTGTGCTTGTGCTGTCTATGTGCTACTCCACTTGTGTGCTTTTGGCTGGATTAAGAGGTGTGGATGCCTGCCTTTAGGTTCTGTTGGTGTGGTTTTTAGGTGGGGTGGCTTCCTTTGCTTGCCATCACACACTTTTTTATGTGGATGTTTCAAACAAGTTCCAAGGACTCATTCTTGTTTCTAGCTCATGGCAGGCAACCAATTATTGGTGTCACTCAGTGGCGATTGTACATAAAGGCTATGTGATTAATTGGCCCCATGGCTTTTCAAAAAAACACCTCTGTTTTTTATTTTCGCTTGATATCAAACCAAAAGTTTATGAAGCTATGTGGAGCTTGGATGAGCTGGCACCTCAGGGTTTTAGTTCAATTGTTTGGTTTGGAATGCAATCCAAGTGCATTTTTATCATGGTGGTTACTCCCTCCGTTCCAAAATAGATGACCCAAGTTAATACAAAGTTGGGTTAGGTCATCTATTTTGAAACGGAGGGAGTACTTCATTAAGTAGTTATACGGATGGTGAGGAAAATAAGGTTGTCAATTCATGGGAGATGAGCCATCCACATTGCCTCTTCACTGCAGTCCAGAGCTACAAAATAAGAAGACGATGATGGGGACGACGACAACGACGATGATGATGCCGACATAGCTGGCAGCTTGACAACGATAACAACCACTGAAAAACAAAAACCATAACTGCAGCATGGATTCAAGCAGATGGTTGTCTGGCACTAGATCCATGATCTGAAATGACTGCTCCCAAGTGCAGGTGTCTACAGGCAATTGGTCCCAAGTTTTCAGTAAATCGACTCAGATTGGCAGATGTCTACAGGCTCCTCCAAAGCCTACTGCTAGTGTATGGCCATGGCTACTTGGATGGCCTATGGTGGGTGCATAGGTTACCAATGTGTTCCATCAGAGTGGAAATGCATTCAGAAATACTTTCTTTGGCTTGCAAAAAAACAAAGGCTGTTGTGCCTAGAAACCAAAAAAGAAAAAAAGACTGATCTGGACTCACCACATTTGCAGGTTTGATAGCTATGCCCTCGCTCACATTCCTGGGTATAAATGGTCCACTGCATCACCATCCCAATCACAATGGTACCGGAAGATCAAAGCTACGCTAGCAAGAATTCAACCATGCGGCATCCACCGAAATTAGAAGAAGAAAAAGATGGAAAAAGGTTCCTACATGGATGAACACTGACAGCAGGCATCAAATATCCCTCTAAGCTGCCAGGCTGTTGATGCTGTCATGGCCGGGCCATCTTCCGCAAAGAAAAAGAAAAACACCTATGAGGATGACACACAGAGGTGAACAAGTGCAAGGAGAAGCACCAGGAGGTAGTTGCTGCGGACCAGCCGCGGCTTCCACGAGTAGGCCGAGTCGACCTCGATCATGATCCCGAACCTGCATGTCCCGGTGCTGGGGTCCTGGCCGGTGGTCGTCGCGTAGCCCGAGAAGCCGCAGGCCACGTCGTCTTGGTCGTTCTTCTGGTAGAAGCTGTTGTAGGCGTACGAGATGTTGCTCCGGGTGTCCAGCATCCCGCAGGAAGTCCTGTAGCCAAGGCTGGTGCAGTCCGCCCTGGAGCACGCGTAGCTCACCGTGTCTGGAAGCTTTGGGTCGTCGAGGCTGACAGTAGGCTTCAGCACACACCATTTCTTGTCAAGGTACTTGACGCCGCTTGCTCTTTTAATCTGTGAATTTGGCACACCGAAGTTCAGCTGATACTTTGGGATGCCATCGTATGTGTAGATCCCCCAGTGGCGCTCGAAATTCCCTGGCTGTATGCTCTTATCATCCTCATCGATCAGACTGAATAAGTAAGCGTCGATCGGTCCAGGCCTCATCGGGGTCCCTTGCCCAGTGGCGATATGCGTCATGAAGCCTTGGTTGAAGCGCTGGGCGAGCTGAGCATTTGCGTTCATGTCACCGTCAGTTGGCCAGCCTATCTCCCCAATAACGATCGGCAGATTCCCATATCCATTCTTCTTCAGGGCCCAGATGAGCGTGTCGTGGTTTGCGTCAAACATGTTTGTGTATGTTGCAGAGCCATCAACAACGGGCTGTGAGCGCCCGTCAAAGAAGGCATACTCAGCAGGGAAGTTTGGATCAATGTAGAGGCTGATGAAAGGGTAGATGTTGACAGTGAAAACACCACCGGTGTCGCTCAGAAATTTTACAATTTCGAGTATCCGATCATGAATATCTGTGCGGAAATCCCCGTCAGAAGGCTTGCCCGTTGCTGTATCATAGACATCAGCATTTTGAGGAACAGTTACTTTGATTTGATTGCCCAAACCAGCCTTCACAAGTGCACTTTGTATGTTCTTGAGGGCAGGAAAGGTAGTTAGCAGAAAGCTTCCATTGTATGTCGACAGGAAAGGCTCGTTACCAACCGCAACATACCTAGCAAAATAACAGGGCAAATCAAGATGCGACAATGATATATGCAAATGGTGGATCAACATCAAGAAGGCATTGCTTGAAGAATGAGACTGAATATGGGACATGAGAACATGGAGCCTAAACTGATCTTGCTGAACATGCATTTTGCTTACTACATATTGTGGAAGCAGCAAAGACCATTTCATTTCATCATGTGCTTATCAGTAGTTCAGATGAAGTGTTATCACATAGTCTAGCTTACTAGATCATCAAGCAGGTAGCAAACATTGGAGTTGCAACTTAAAAAGAATGCTGCATGAAATTTATCAGGGACAGTGCATGTACTACCGTAGAGCTGTTTCATCAAAATAAATGCTACCAGTACAAGGTTGTGTTTAACAATCAAAGTCGATGGTTTGCCTCATGCCAAAAAGTAGTTCAGACAAGCTAGAGACATGAAAATTGCGAAAGAAAGTATATCAAAAGCTGGAAATGTGCATATTCTCCCAAACCACTGCAAAACCACCAATAAAATTCATGGATTTCCAGGTTGAATAATTACCTGAGTTCAAGAAATTGAGTGTTACTATGGGTTAGGTATTTAACATAGTTTAATCAAAAAATATGTGCAGAACAGCTACATAAACTGAACACATCATACAAAGAACAGAAAGATGTTAAATGATTTTCAGAATGTGCTAAAAAGGTTGAAGCCTCCAAGTTTCAGTTTAAAAAATCTTTGAAATTATGACACATAAGAGAAATGCATGTCCACCAGGACCACACGGTCCAATAGGTAGTGAAATGAGTATAAACATAGTCATTGCAAGACAGTAGGTATGAGGTAAATTCTATACAGGAGGTATAACTCAAGGGGGAGTGAAGAGGCCAACTATTATATCACCCTCAAAGAAGCAACAGAAATAAAGAGGACTGGACAGAAAAGGATGCATTTCCTCCATGGTGTAAGGTCCCCCCTTCTTCCACCTAGGAGCTTCGAAGGGAAGCAATTGAATGCTACTGCTCAACTTGATTGTTCAGTTCCGTTTGAAAATGGTACGCACAACTCATAAGTGGTTGGCTGTGAACATCTCATTTAAAACATGAACCCTCGTAATGCATGCTGTGAGCATTGTTCCAAATAAATGTAAACGGTTAACGAATGGTCACCCCACATGTTAGAACCGTAGATGGTCCTTTACACTGTCTTGTGCATGGTTTCATAACTTGCTGTTTACGCAAATATACTCCTATTTATACATTAACAAATAAGCATCTAAATGTAATACATTGTTCCTATACACATAATGGATCAAGGGAACTCCCAGGAAATGTCATTTCTAGCAGCACAAAGAAGAAGAGTTGACTGGTTTCTGCTTGCTAAATAATTTGTAACTTTTACCTTGTAAAAAGGCCCACAGGCCAGCTTTCAATAAAGGCTAAAAATGCTTTTTACTAGATGTTCCTGGTACAGTTTTTGTGAGAGACAGATACTTTTCATACAAAATGGCCTACAACCATATGAAGGCCTTTTTCTACAATAGACAGACTTGTAGATGGCCTAACCTTCAAATTCAACTAGATACGTGCATTCATAGTTAAAAAAGGCGCGCCTAAGCGAGCGCTTAAGTGCGCCTAGGCTCTAGGCGATAGCAAAACGCCTAGCGCATAACTACGCTTAATCTGCGCATATCAGAAAAGCGCAAGGCGGTGGCAAAACACACAATTAACGCCTGGCGCTTTTTTGAACTATGCGTGCATTGCAACAGGGTATAAAGTATCTAGTACGTTAGCCCGCGATTTGCCGGCCCATATTATGTGATTGTGTAAAAAAAAGTTTTTATTTAGTTAACACTTACTATTTGGAAAGCACTTACTGGATTACCAAAAAGTCATAATTTTGTTTGGTAAGTGAATAAGAGGTGGGGCAGGTGAAGCGGTTTTCAGGAAAAACCAGTTGAAAAAACTAGAGATGGGAGTAAAAATTCCAAATGGGAAGAGGAGGGGAGAACGTACGTAAGGTTGGATGAAGGAGGAGCGGACGACATAACCTTGCGTCATTTTTAAATAGGAGAGAAGATTTAACCTAACGGATAGGCATGCCTTGTAAAAGGGGACTTTACAATGTCATAAGAGCCTTGAATTCAAAAAAGTGATGATGAGAATCCAGTAGTGCAAACCGGCTGGAACCATGGACATGGTGAACTTCTTGCTGGAGAATTCCATGTAATTTAGAGAAACGGTATGAATTGATGAGCAAAGTAAAGTCTTCAAACAGAAACCACCATCAATCATGTGTGATGCTCAATGAAAACACAAAGTGCCTGCTTGGTAACTTTTCTGTTCCCAAGGAATACATGTAACCAATGCAACCAAGCAGGGGGCAAACCAGAAGGCACCATGGAAAGCGCCGAGAAGCGGGTCTCCGATCGAGACAGATTGAAGGTAATGCGGAAATTTCTCATTTCACTGCTAATTCTAGATTTGTCACTGTCCATCCATATGAACCGGGCGCAAATGAAGCAGGTCTCCAAGTCGAGAATTGAGCCAACCAAGAGCTACACTTGTTGGCCACCAGCCTGAGACAGACAGATGGAAGGTACCGCGAAAAATGTCGCCTTCATCCCTCACTAACTCTAGACTCATGACAGTTCATCCTCCGAACTAGTACAATCAAATGAGACCACACTCCAGATAGCATGAACTACTTACAAATCAATCAATCAATCAAGCAAGCATGGCAACAAATGAGAGTCAACAAAGTACAGTAATTAAAAGGATACCTGACGTTGCAGCCTTTGTTGAGGTAGTTGGAGACGTTCTTCTCGACCCACTTGTCGGCGGCCTTCATGCTGTTGGCCATGGTGGTGAGCAGCTCGTTGGGGATGCCGACCATGACCTCGAGGCCGCTCTTCCTGAGGGCGCTCATGGTGCCGTCCTCGGCGTCGAACAGCTTCACCTTCTGGAAGCCGTTGTCCTTTAGCATCTTGACCACCGTGTCCGGCGGCAGCGGGTGGCTCGCCTGCGTGCCCCAGTTGGCCCCTATCGCGCCCACCCCCGCCGCCGACCAGGAGACCACCACCAGCGCCGCCAGGACGAAGAGCGCCGCCGCGGCTCCCCCACGGCCGGAGCGAGGACGAGAACCCATGGACAGACAGCAGATGACCCCAACAGCAGCAGCTCCAAATGAAATCTTGCGCTCCTCGCTTGCTCCGAGCTCAGATCTTGGATGAAACAATCCGGCGAGGAAATACAAGAGGGGATCTTGCCGGGAACGTCCCAGAACACACTGAAATCGAAGCTCTGAGCTGAAACCCTCACCGGAAAGAAAGGGGAGGAGCAGCCGCCAGAGGCTCCAAGAACTCAAGAACAAGGCTCTCAAATCCCCGAGCTACCAGAGCTCCACCCACGAGCTGGAATCTTTTGCGGGGGAAACAATAAATGAAGCCCTGGCGAACGCCACCTACGGTCGACCGCGACGGGAGATTCCCAGTGATGGCGAGCCGAGAGATTCACGGGGCGGGTATTGACGGCGAGCGAGCCAGCAAGTACTACCCAGGCGAGGTGAGTACTGGTGAGTAGGTAGGCGAGGGCGGCAGAGGGCAATAATGGGGCTTTGCCAAAGCTGGCAGCGGCAGCGAGCAGAGCAGAGCAGAGGGATGGATCAAAGCTACTAGCAGAAAAGATTAGCCTTTCCAAGCAATAATCCTCCCAGGATTTGCAAAGGAGGTTGTGTCAAGGGAAGGGAAAGACGTGATTTGAGTGTGGGGTTGGAGAAGAGATGGGGTGTGTTTGATCTCATCTAGCAAAGCGGCGGCATGAGCATGATCGGTCGCCTCCAGATTTCCAAGAACCTCAAAAGCTGTTGATGGATGGATGGATGGTCTATGGCTCTACTACTATCTCGAAAGTGCTATGGGATACGGCATTCACGCCTCGCACGCTTGGAGGTTGGAGGTTGGAGCTTGGGCTGGGAGTGCAAGCAAAAGGAATCGGAGCAGCATGGTTTGTTAGACGCTTTCACTACTGTCATGATGGTGGTTTTCTGGTTACTTTTACGGGTGGTAAACAGGGTAGTAGAAAGATTCCTCCTCTCGGTTGCATGCAAAAAATGCAAATCCAGGACGGTTCTGCACTGTTTGGGCAGATGCCCGAGGAAGGAAAAGATTTGGGGAAAAGGCTACAGATATTCCCCACTACGCCATTAACCTCTAGCATTTGCATCGGCAGCAGCATAGTCACTGCACTGGGATGCTGCACCGCGTTGCTGCTCTGCTGCTGCTGGTGGTGGTGGTGCCAGTTTTTAATTGCTTTCTTGAGCTTTTGTTTGCTTTTGTTCGTTTGTTTGCTGCGGCTCTGGCTCAGGGCGAGAGGTGAGGTGCTTAAGCTAGTTAATTAGGCTATCAAAGGGGCATCTTGGTGGTTGGTGCTGGCCAGAATCTGGGGCATATTGGTATTGTTATCAGGAGAACAAACGAAGCGAAGCAAAGGAAAAGGAAAGCAAATGAGGAGAGCGTGGTGAGTCGACGGTGACTGTGTACGCGTATAATGGGATCCTTTTGAGGTGTCAGGCGGGACACGCCAGCGCTTTTCTAGGGTGCGGTGCTGACCGAGGATTGACCATCAAAGTTGCATGCAGCCATGCAGCTAGCTGGGTGCCGGGCCCCAGGACCAAGTGACAAAAGAGTGGTGACAAAGGAAGAGCGTGTGCGTGCGCTTCTTCTATTTTTTTCACTTGTCTTTTTTTCCTTTTATAAAAGCTAGAGCGTGTGCATTGGAAACGTATCTACTAAGGGCATGTACAATGGGGGCCGTCGGTGCACGTAAACAAATAGAGTTGAAACCATCGCTTCAATCGCAAAACTGCCTCCTATGGTTTATATTGGCCGCACTTGATTAATTTTCTATCCAACTTTCCACCGTCATCATCCTTCGTCTTGATTTTTGTGTGTGTGGGCAGTGTGGTCCTTCTGCACTTTGTCAGGCAAGAGGCGGACTCCTCTGCAGGAAGTGGTTTGCCTCTGCAAGCATTACCTTTAGCTGAGTTGGACTCTGTGAACCTATGTGGTCCAACGTGGCCCGTTGGCCATGCTCTAACCTACTAACCTGGTTTTTTCCCCTCCTTTTCGTAACCTCCGTGCGGTAGGAGAACGTAGCGTAAAAGTATATGAAAAGTTTGAAAAATAATTGGTACTCCCACCGATCCAAAATAGGTGTCGTAGTTTTGAAATAGGGATTGGAGGGGTAGTATTTTTCTATGGACGTAGTTGGTGTCATTTACCATAATTTTTTATATGTGTGCAAGAGTACCCTTTTGCTTGCAATCTTATATGCACCCTCGTGAGCAGTAAAATAATAATAATAAGTGAAAAAATAAGAAAAATCTGATTCTTTTTTCAGGAACGAACATTGACGAATTCCGAACATGCGTGCAAATTTCATGGAGAAACAACATTCCAAAATGCTTCTGTAAAAAAACCAAAATTAATGCCACAAGAAACAGACTTGTTGGAGTGTCGGTTTTGTCTTTTTAAGGAAACATGTTTGGAATGTTGTTTCTTCATGAATATTTTCTCCAAGTTGTTGTGTTTGAATTTAGCAATTAATTTAATGAAAACACATGTACACAAAAAAAATAGGAAAAGAGAACTCCCAAAACACTGTAATACAAACCCTAAAATCTTAAAAGGAGACCAGCATCGGGTTTTTTTGGGCAACACTGCAAACATTTTTAATTATATTCCCTTTCCAATACCAGAGCAACCCGAAATAAATTCGTATTTAGATAGAGAAAAGTAAAATGGTGATACGGATTGGAAACATCTGCCCCCTCGAAACATTTAGGTAATTTTCAATTATTATGTTCATCAACACTCAAGTACACATAAAAAATTGTTGATACAGATTGGAAGACAAAAGACCAACGATTTTGCTTAAAACATTAAAATGCATAAAAATTACCAGTTGCGTGTCTCAGGTGGGGCACACGTGGCTAGAATTCAATGTAGCAGCGTGTGCTTCTCACTAAACGTTGCTAAGGTAATTGTTATATTAAGTTACCTTCAAATGCCAGAGCAACCTTAAATAAATCCACAATTGGATATGTAAATGTAAAATGATGCATAATACATGTATACAAAATTTTGTAGTAAATAAAATAGTGCTATAACATCTATCTCTCAAACCGGACGCTTTGGCCCCCCTTCAAAATTAACTTCGAATCTCGATCCCGTGGATTTCCCTTCGGTTTGAAGGGAACGTATATCATAACTTATGTGTAACATTTTGAAATTATAACCAAGGCTTCGAGTTGTCATACAATGACGGCATAACAGATTTCATTGTTTTCAAACCGCATTTACATATTTTTTAAATACAACAAGATTTACAAAAAATATCATGTTTAAATTATCAAATAAAAAATTATGATTTTTTTCAAAACAAATCATGATAAACAACTAAATATACAGTAAACAAACTTAATGTATAAAAATTGGAAGACAAAACACTCTGAGCTTTATCCCTCGCCATAAAAAAAACACTCTGAGCTTTATGCTTAGAATCGTAAAATGCATAAGCCTTACCAGCAGCATTTGCTCTCTCGTTTACACGCGGCTAGTGCGCTATGTTGCAGCGTGCAAGCTACTACACACGCTGCTAGTTTAGGTTACAAGCATCGTTTGCGCACTAGGAAACGCTGGTAACTATTCCCTCCGTCTCATAATGTAAGACATTTTTTGATATTAATATAGTGTTAAAAAACATCTTACATTATGAACGGAGAGAGTAGCTTAGTACTTCTTACTTTACCTTGAATAAATATCCTCTACGACTAGCTAGCTCAGTCTGTTCCTCTCTCAACAACTCTCAAGCGCCTCTCTCTCGCTCCCGGCGCCGACACCGACGCCGCCGGCCGCCCCTGCCGACGTTGCGCCCCTACCTGCTAGTGTTTTGCCTGGCATCCCCCTTCCCGCCTGTCGGCCTACGCCGCATTCCCGACGACGCCACAGACCCGGCC